GGGGCAAAGAGAATACACTAAGGAACCAGATGTCTGGCGTTTGTCAGAGAGCACATGCGGTGGCCTGTTTAACGGTAAAGGTTAGAATGAGACTTGAGACTTGGACTCTCATCAGACTTGAGCTATGAAAATAAATGACTTGATTCTTGACTTGAACTTGACCTCTGTGAGACTTTACTTGACCTCACCCCGAAAGACCTGAAAGCAAAAAAAAAAAAAAGTTTCAACCTGGTGAAATCCCAGAACAGCACAAAAGAGAGAAGGTGAGATGAGCCTTTCGTGGCCACACATCTAATTTTAGGCCTTTGCATTGTAAGGACTTGGTCTCAGCAACGTGTCAAACCACTGTCATGTTAGTGTAATCAGTATTCAGAGACCTGGAAGATTTGTAGCTGACTTACAGTTTGCTTACAAATACATGTGACTTTATTTGAACTCTGCAACTTCGAACTTGACTTCTTCTTTGACAAAACTTGAAACTTGACTTTCACTAGTCCCCGAGGACGTAAAAACATCTCAAGTTTAAGGTGAGTGTTGGAGGCATGTAGTTAACAGTTTTGGGGATAGTTGAAACGTTATGTCAGGGGGCTCCCCGCAGTCAAATCCAGCTCCGCAGCTGGTGTCTATAGTAAAGCCAGTAAAGTTTGAGAGTCAAACTTGCAAATGAGTGTTCAGAATAATGTGCACGCGGGTGTGCATGTGCGTGTCCTGAGACAGAGGGTGGACTGAGGACAAAGTGTGGGAGGGCTAGACGAGGCCGCACATGGAGCCACAACACCCCCACAGCAAACAAGAGGGAGACCAAACTACCAGCCCAGCCCATACAAACACACTCTCACCACATGACAACACTATTGTGGTAGAGGGAGACTGTGTGTGTGTGTGTGTGTGTGTGTGTGTGTGTTGTCAGTGGGGTGGGGTGGGGTGGTGATCTGGGTTTCCTCCAGAGAGTGAAACAAACGGAGTGAGGGAGATTCACTTCCCCATTGGGACAGACAGATAATATTGACACAGTCTGTCACAATAAGAGGCAGACTGAGCCAAAATCTCCAGCCCCAGGCCGAAGGCTGCACTGAGAGTCTGTCCAACAAATGAATTAAATCTGATTTCAAGAGATTTTTCAATCACAAGACGTGTTTTTCTTGAAATTGAGAAAGAAACAAATGATAAATCCAAATGTATCAAATTAAACTTGTTCCACTGTGATTCAGAGCAAAGAAACAAACCATAGGTGTGGTCTCCCCTCAGATGACGGGATGCTGCAATTGTTACCATCATACGCTGATGATACCCTCCTATTCTTTCCCAAAGAAACCTGACAACCACCGCATACCTACTGGCTGGCATGTGGGGCTGTCTGTAGGACTGTCTAGTGGACATAGAAGCAACTAGATGCTAGATACCTTTCTCTGGTAAACTGTGACGAACCAGGCTGGGATTTACTGAGCCTTTACTATCAGGGACCTGAGGCTCTGAGACTCCCTGCTCGAGGAGGTCTGGTTAGCTGAGTTACACGGTTTTTACACTAACCATGCAAACACAGAATTGCTGTCAAGTCAAACCAATTAGTAATTACTAACTAATAATTTTTTCAATTTTTTCAAGAGTGGCATCCATGGCTTATTTTTATACCTTTTCTTTTTTTTCTCATGTAAAAACCAAGTGAGCTCCATCTCTACAACATTGCTTGTTCAAACTGCTTTTGAAACCTCAGGTAGTCACACTGATTTTACAGGAATGTTTGAGATATTTGAAAAAATGCAATTAAGATGAGACACAGAACAGGGTGTGTGTGTGTGTGTGTGTGTGTGTGTGTCCATGTTGTGAGTGCCTGTGTCAGCATAATGAGTCATTTTCTGGGGAATAATGTCATGTCTCCCCTCAGGTCAAAGGGATGAGATCTCACACACACATAAACATAAACACACGGTGAGTCAGCAAGGTGTGTCTGTGTTTGTGTGTGTGTGTGTGTGTGTGTGTTTGTATGTGTGTGTGTGTGTATAACTTGTCTCCATATATGCATGTAAACATCTTTGTGTTTATCTGCTAAAACTGTGCCCTAACCACTGTGACCTCACCTCCAAGTGTGTGTGCATCTTCTCGGGTGTGTGTCAGATGTAGGCGGGCCAACCACACTGTTTACACACAACGCCTCGGTGTGACCTCGGAGGTTGCCGGTGGCCGTGATTGGCTGCCAGCTACCAGCTCATTAAGCCACTCACACGGGGACACCGTGCCAGCAGACACACTCTCCATTTGTTTCACAACACACGGATAAAGTCACACACACTCGCCAGAGGGACACTGCAGGTATGGCAGGCAGCCATGTGCACATGCCCGCCGCTGCGTGTGCGCACACACACCGTGGAAGCACGGAGTCTGTCTGGCCCCTGTGACCCGGCTGAACTTTGGCTCACCCTCATTGGTTGATTACACCACACAGCCTCACACCTAGATGCCTGTTGGCTGCTGGACCAAACCATAGGGTCATGACTTACAGGAGAAGAGAAGAGAAGAGAGAACAATACTAATCCCAACAAGGAAGATTATGACGTTATGAAGAAGAAATGAGAAGGATAAAGAATCACGTTGCACTGCTGTTTGGTGGAAACCTTAAAAAAGTAATCTTTAGAGGAACCAAGAAAAACGCAGATTTTATCTTGATGACAATGTGTTTTTGATACTGTCCAGTGGGTGTTGAAAGGGTTTGGTCAGCAAAAGTGCTGAGAGAATTTTCTCAACCCACAAAAGAGCATCTCAGGACGGGAGTGGGAACAGCCAATCAGTGTCTGTTTATTATAACATGGGTTTTATTCTCATGCGGGTTAGGGTTAACCCTACAATATATCTGGTTTCTGACCACAAAAGAAAAAGGGTGGAAGTATTAGCATATACTAAAAGTACTAAAGTAAAAATGCTTATTATGCAGAATGATGTATTTGAGAAGAATTCCCATTTCATTAATGACATGTTCATCATTTTAATGTTGCAGCTGGTGAAGTTGGGGCTAATTTTAATTACTTTATATTCTGCTGTGTCATTCATGACCTTTCCCCCAGAGATCAATAAAATCTTATGTTATTGTATCTTAAGCTGTGAGTCGACTAGAGGCAGCTCTAGTTCCCTGACCACGTCATGACGTGAGTCCAGGTGTAGAGGCTTCGCTGGCCGCTGCGTTAGGTCTAAACTCCACTTGGCATCACTGGGGCTGCAAAAAGGATCGAGTCCACCATGGAGGCTGCAGGGAGGGCCTCCAGATGGACTTGACCTGTGGGCCAACGCTGCTGGGGCAAGGTCCGATCAACCCTGGCTGGGTCCCCTGAGCGAGTATGATGCTGAAAGACCCCGAAACTACGGTGGCCCTGAGAGCTCAACTCAACTCTCTTAACTTAAGAAAACACATGCAAATACATAAGACGTGCTGCAAAACATCTTCATCAATTTGACAAGAGGCTGACGAGAGCTCCACGTCTGGCCTCAATCGAGTTGTCATGACACGGTCTGGGAAACACCCGATGACCTCTGGGACATCACTGAGGATGTGTCGCAGTTCATCCCAGGATGTATCTTTGAATCAACGAATCAAACTAATGCCATGTTTATGTTTTGTCGTAAGTTAAGTAAAGAAAAAAGTATCATCAAAATGAATGAAATGACAGGTAAATAGTTTCTGCACTGTTTTTGTTTTCTCCAGTGTGATGCTTTGCTTTTTGAACATTATGGATTATGGGAAAACTGTGGCTCAGAACCACTGATCTCTCCATCCGGTTTCCTTGTTTCATTTGAGGAACAAACATACCATCGCTTTGTGTGAAGTTTTATTGCTTTAAAAACGGATATAAATCATCCTTGATTTCTTCTTCTTCTTCCTATTGTCTCTTCCTCCTCCTTATTAATAGCTGCCACTTTCGGACATCTTGCAGCATCTTTGTTCTTCGATTTTGCAATTCAGATTTTTCTGCTTGCCATCTACTTCGCTGTGGCTGCCAGAAAGCGGAAAGGTTCTTTAGCAACACTTTCTTGTGTTTTTAAATTCTTGGAAACAGTGTGATATTGCTATATTGCTATAAAATAGCTTCACAGTAGTCCTATCACAGGATTGAAAACAGTGTCTATCCCCTCAGACTGCCATGACACAGTCTTAAAGTGTGTGTGTTTGTGTGTTTATATGTGTTTATGTACCTTGGGGCCTGGTAAAGTACACGCTGAGTCATCATTCTTAAAGAAAAGAATCTGCTGACCGAATTAGCTCTGCAGGGGAAACCCCGTTACACAACAGAATGACATTTAGACTGCCTCTCTTTCTTTATGACACGTCTTATCTTGCTCTCTTTAGTTCTATATTTTCTCCATCATATTTAGTTTTTATGCCCCAATTTCTTTTTTTAATCTTTTTGCCATTTTATTATTATTACTATTTAATTATTACTATTTATTCTCTGCTGCCTTTCTCTTCTTCTCACTCTGCTGTGATGTTTCATCCCTCTCCACCCCTGAACTGGGCCGTCTCCCTCTTTCTCCCTCTCCCACTCTGTCGTTCATCTTCTGTCCATTCCTGGTCTGACACCCGCCCCCTCCCTCCCTCGCCACCCTCGTCTCTCTTTCACCATACGATACTCCTCTGTTGACGTGTCCGTCTGGGAGTTGCTATAGCAACCGGACATTTCTGCTGACCCCTACCTTGCTTTGCGTGTCAGAGCTGCAGGACGTTCTGTCATAGGGCAAACATTAGCAGAGTGTAAGAGTGCGTGTGCACAGCTAAACACACACTTTAGTGTTAAATGGATATGTGCGCGCATGCACATGCACTCATATGCATGCAAGTACATGTCCACTTAACACATAATCACACAGATACACACATGTACTGTGTGCACACTCAAACACATAAAATCAGGGAAATAAAAACTGAACCAAAAGGACGACTATAAATGAACTGTATATTTGTTGAACATTTTTATTTTATATTAAAAATAACATTCATAACAGTAACAGTTGTACAACCAATAATAATAATCTGAAATGTTTGCAACAATAATTACACTTGAGAGTGGGAGGATTTCATATCCTCCTTTTTTTTTTTTTTAAATAAGTTAAGAAATAGTTTTTCTTTTTCCCCCAGATATCATTTTCTAAAAGCATTTATACATACAGTGTTGGCTAATAACTGGCTCACAGCAATCTCTAGAAGCCAGGTCTTTAAGACTTGCTTTAATGTGGATATTCATAGCATGTTATCTAGGCAGGCATTTGGTTGTTATTCCATTTTGATCTGGCAGTAGTACAAAATGAGCAGGTTATCGATATTTTCCAGTACATCAAGCTACAGTACACGGCAGAGCACTTCTCTAAAGTCAGTGTGGTATGATCAGTGTATGGCTACTCCAGTGTTAGATAAAGTTAGATTCAGACATTGTAAGATAACAGTAATGTTTGGCATTGAGGCCTGAGCTGCGCACTCCAGTTTCCAGTTATCGTCCCAGTGTAGAAATCCAGTTCTCCACGTCTCCAGTTTCAACTTGAGCTCCACATTCAACCCCAAATAATGACTTCATTCTTAGTCCAAGTCATAGTCAGGTTCACCAATCAGTAGTTGAGCTGGACGTCCAAAGTGTACAAGCAGCCAATCAATGGCTGCCAACTGCAAGAACAGACCGCCAGTCTAGCTTTAGGCATCTGATGAGTTTCCATAGATCCACGTTAATGGGATTTAGGGTTCACACGAATGAAATCCAGTGTTTAGTGTGACAAATATCTTCCAGTCCAAGGAGTTCATAAGATTGCACTTCTGTCAAATCCACGAAGCTGGACGCTCTGCGGCAGCTCTGGAGCAGGAAAGGTAACTTTCTCTGACGCTGTCCATCGAAAAACAGCAGCAGTGTCCGTCACCTCCGTTGGTTCCTCAGCGTCCGTCCACTGAGTCAGCTGTCCCACATTCAAGAATCCCATGCTCCTCGTCCTCCTCCTCTGTGTGCCTTTGGAGCAACGTGTCTGGCCAAAAGCTTTTGGTTTTGCTTTACCATTACCTGTAAGAGGAAAAAAGATTTCATAAGATAAATGTGTTGTTTTGAATTTCTTGTCTTTGTATCGTGTCTTCCTTTTCGATCTTTTGAGTGAAGAGCTGAAGCAGCGGGAAATTATGCCACAAAAAAAATGAATCTGCACCGTAAATATTCACAGATTCCCATATTGCTTTTCCTTGGCATCACAGTTTGACAGCAAGAGGAAATATATATTGTCATTTATCATTTCCTGCCCTTCAGGGAGACCAGAGATCAAGCTCAGCTACAGCGCAACATCCCTGCAGCTGATTGGGATTCAAAGCATCAAAAATACTCTCGCAAGAATGAATGATGTTGCTTTTTCCTATTTACCTGCAGCTCTACATGATCATGGCTCTGATGGCTGCTTTGCTGATGCGTTTGCGGTGTTTCCTCCTGCGCCGAGGCGAGGCCGGACGGAACGGGGCCTGACGTGCAGAGGCGGAGATGGGAGCCACGGTATAGAGGGCTGGCAGAGATAAAAACAAAAAGGAAACACAGTAAATACAAAAGTAAAGCAAGTCATGGACTGTTTTGTCTCTTTCAACACAGCTCACATCTTTCTTAAAAATACATACATTGCAATCTGATATAAAAAAAAAACAATAGCTAAAACAAGTAATGCTGGTGTTTCTTTGTCAACCAACTTTGGTACCAAATCAGTAAAGTGCAGACTCATCACTGTCACTGGCAGACCATCAACCAAGAACAAACACAGAGAAGAAGAGACAAAAAAGTAACTCGTAGAAAAAAGCATAACATAATATGAACAAATAAAAGAAAAAAAGGAAACCAAGTGAGAGATGAATAACAGCAACAACAGTTTCATCTTGGTTTCAGTAGCAGCGTGCAGCACCAGTGAAGAATAAACACAGGGCGTGGAGCTCCTGTAGTGGCTCTAACTGCACTCCGAAGGGCACCTGATAACCTTGAAGCCTGCACAACAAAGCCTGTGACTGCCTGCAGGTTTGAGTCAAACGCGAAGCGGTGGGAAGTGCAGCTCTCTGACTGCAGAGCTCTCAGGGGGTTGAGGAAGAATAGCAGGACACATGTGGCCGCGGTGTTTAGTCATACATCTACAGTGAGCTGCTTCCGGCTCGGGGAAACTCTCACACTGATTCTCTCATCCATTCAGTGCTAAAATTACAAAACACTCCTACCGCAGAGGCAACTACTGGAGTATAGTAGTAGTAATGGTGGTTACCCCTGCCCCATAAATCTGTCCTGCACCACATTTGACAAGGGCTGCAATTGTAATAATAAGTCCTCCAGCCTTTATCGGTGTATCCTGCATTTTCCAAATTTTTTCCAAACGACTCCTTTTGGCTTGAAGCAACAGTAGAGAGCTGTGCAAAGACGTGCGTCTGCAAAATCACTCAGTGCATGTCTCCTGAATAAACACAGGCCCAATTTTAATCTTTTCACCTTATGAATTACAACTATACTTGTGTTTATTATTACCATAAATATGTCATAAGAGTTTTACAGAAATATGTGACTGATGCAAACAAACCTTTTAACTGCATTATGAAACCATAATAAGTTAGATGTAGCTGCAAGTGTATGTCTGTGATTTCAGTGACCTGCCAATCAATTACTTGTATTTGCTCATGGGATGAGCAGGGTGTGGAGGTGCAGCCTGCGGCTCTGCTCTCCTGTGTGCCGCAACATTTTATTTGTATTTTAAAAACCAACTTGGCCTGTTTTTAATCACAAACCCACTCCAACAGGCTACTCTGACACACACACACACACATTCTCACGCAGCTGAGCAGTACCTGTTTTAAATGCGGTGGGCTTTGGTCTTTGCTGTGGATGATGAGGATGAAGAGGAGTCTGTCTATCCGGTTCCCTCTGTACCATCTCCAGTAGTTTCTGCCTCCTCTCCTCCTCTGTCAAATGACCATCTCCTCTGGTCACATTAGAGTCTTTTTCCTTCCCCTGATTGGCCAGCTTCGCACCAGCCAAGTCCCCGCTACTGGCTGACCCACTGTCCTCCCTCTCGTTCCCTTCTTTCTGACTGACTGTTTCAGCCTCAGTCTGTTTGTGACTTGTGACCTCTGTATTCTTTTGGCTGGTCACTGAGTCTTTCTGGTTGGTGGTTAGAGGAGGGGTGGGGTTTTGTTCTAATATGGATGGCTGGGTTGGGCTGACGGGTGGGGAGGCGCCGTCCGACTGGGGGGCGTTGAGTCGATACTGCGCCCCCAGCTCTTGGTCCTCCACCCCTCCGTGGTTGAACTGCTGTGGATAATGCGGCTGGTGATGATATTGCTGCTGATACTGCTGTCTCTGCTGATGCTGCAGCACCTGCTGCTGCCTCTGTGTGTGATCGGGATGATGCGCTTCACCGCCACTGTGCGCTACGTGCACGCTGCCTTCCTCCCTGCTCCCGTCATACCCGCTCCCGTGCCCGACCTGCTGCGTACTTCCCATGACACTGTGCTCCGCCCTTGCCTCCGACGGCCTGCTGCTGACGGACCCGAGCACCCCGATGATCGGCTGGTGCACCCTGGGCTGTGTCCAGTGCACCAGCTGGGTGTAGCTGCCCTGCTGCCACTGCCTTGCCACCGGCTCACGCTCCTCAGGACTGTAGTGCTGCTGGTTGTGCTTCAGGTCATCGTGGCGATGGAGGTCGGCCTTGGAGGCGTGAGTCTTGGGCGGGGCTGGGTGAACGGATCGGGGAAGGGGCAGGGGATGGTGGGAGGATGGGGGAGGCTGCTGTGGCGGAGGTGCAGGGGGGTTGGGGTTGCTCTGAATGGAAGAGTGCGTGATGGGAAGTGATGGGGAGGAAGAAGATGAAGAGGACGAGGAAGACGTGGCGGCTTGGCACCTGCAGCTGACGTGATCTTCCACTGAGATGATGGCTTTGTCGTAGCGGGCTTTCCTGTTGATGTACTGGATCTTTATCACCTGGAGAAGAAGTGGAGAGGAACACACGTTGGCACACACACAGTATAAATCATTATTGAGGTTTGAGGTCCAGACAAATCCAACAACAAACCACTCAAACAGAACTGCAGCCAATCTTTCTGACTGTTTCCTTTCACTTGACTGAACATATAGCCGTGCATGTGCAGCGAGGCGTGTCTTGAAACAAGTAGCGAAGACATCTGATTGGTTGCCGACATTTCCAGACAAGCTGATAATTCCCTGAAATGTGGCGGCTCTCTGCCAAAGCCTTTCTGCCTTTACCATGTAATTTTCTAATTATGTAGATGTTCCTGTTCTCAAAGTTATATCGGGTATAAAATCAGATCCTGCAGGTTAACTTGTAACGTCTACCACGGTGTATATATCATCACCTGAAGAAATAAAACGACACCATCAGCACAGAGCTTCCTGAGGCATCGTGTTGGTTTGACCTGGCGGGAAAAATGTCTGTACTATTGCGATTAGCCTATAATAATAAAAACATTTGTCTTCTATTAATATACTTTATTTTTATTCATAATTTGCTTGTAATCAATAAAGGAATATATTTTCTTTCTTTATATTTAGATGAGAAGATTGGGACAGTTGTCTCTTTGTGCAGTAAGTTTATTGATATGTCGCATAAAGACTGGCAACGAGGGGAAACGGCAAGCCTGGCTCTGACTCCGACCAGTGGAAACAAACTTCACCTACCGGACCCTCAGAAGCTCAATAATCAATACTTTATATCTTGTTTATTTTAATTCGTATAACGAAGAGTACAGGCCAGGAGCAGTAACACATGACATATCAGGGGTTAATCAGGCAGCGTTAGAGGTGCTGTCAGGTGGATTTGAATTATACTCTTGGACGGGAGCCCCGTTTGCAGTCTTCATGCTAAGCTAAGCTAATTGGCTGCTGGCTGCAGTGATGTGAGAGTGCTCTCTTGGCAAGAAAACAAATCAGTGTATTAAAAAACAACTAATCCTTTAATTTGGAAAGAAGAACTCTGTAAAGTGATTAAATAAAATGATCATGTGATATTCTAGTGAAAGTCAACATACAGTAATATTTTATCTATTTATTTGGCAAAAGCACTCAGTGTCATGGTGATGAACTTCTCCATAGTTACTGTACCTATTTGAAATCATGAGCTCATGTTTCCATGGCAGCTGTGTGTGCTGCGTACCTGCAGGTATCTGCTGGAGGTGACGGTGGGGACGCACTGCAGGAGCCTCGTGTTGCAGCAGCCCGAACACCTCTGCACCTCCACGCAGGGCGGCCACAGCATGAAGTTGGCGTTGCGGCGGTCCAGCATGGACCTCGTCACCTCCATCACCTCCGTCCGAACTTTACAGGCCGCCTGCTGGGCCGGCTGCGCCTCCACTGTTGGAGGAGGAGAGGGAGAGAGGAGAGAGTAAGATTGGATTATTGGCAGGAAGGGCATAGCAAAGTGATAAGACACAGATGGAAGAAACAGACTGATTGAAAAAGACATAAATAGACCGGAAGGGACGCAAATAGATGTGGAAACATACCAAGACTTCTAGTGTATCGGCCATGGGTGTGGTTTGTGAGAATATCATGCTCATCTTCTTCCTCATCTACAGAAAGAGATGGGGGAGGAGGGGAGATTGGGAAGGAGAGAGATAAAGGGAGACAAAAACAGAATTAGAGATAATTACATATTTTCCTGCTTTTATCTTAAAACTGGGCAACATTGAACTGACACTTTTACAAGCGACGACGGAAACTTATAAAACACGAGGCTTTTGGGGCAGTTTTTAGCCAAGCTCATTGTTCACTGCACAAAGGAAGCCATTTTTTTCTCCTCTCGCTAAAACAATTAGGCTATTTTCTACTGCAATTTGTCTTGTTGATGTCAAGAATACTGTTGAGGAGAGATATGAGTTGTTAAATATAACTCTTGTGCAGATCTGTGAGTGTGTGTGTGTGTGTTTTTGCACATGTCGTCATTTCATAGTGTTGCCCCTTAGTCCTAATTATATGCCTGGTGTAGGTTGCTTTTGGTCACTCTGTGTGTGTGCGTGTGCGTGCGTGCATGCGTGCGTGTGTGTGCATGTGTGATACACAGATGCACAAGATGTTATTTAGTTGCCTCTAATTAACTGCCTGATACAGAAAGAGAACAGTTTCTTATTGTTCTCAGAAGCTGCTTTTCTAATTTTATCTGTGCATTTTTCTGTATCCAAATGTTTTGTAAGACTGATCCCGTCCTTCCTCTTTCATGTATCAACACATGATATGTTTAATTCTGTAAAAACCAGCCGACCAATCAGAATCGTCCTACTGGTTCTGCCGATTCTGATGAAGCTGTAACTTAAAATCTTGTCTTTTTTCAAACTAGTGCTTAAAGATGAAATGGTCATCTCTTTATCAGCATTTATAGCTAACACCAACATGCTAACAGGCTCACAATGCTAATGTATTTATACTAAGCAGGTGTAATGTTTATCATGCTCCACCATCTTAATTGAGTGTGTTGGCATGCTAACACTTGCTAATTGCTACAAATCACTGCTGAGTCTGATGGTTGCTGAGTGAAAAGTCTTTAAAATATCTGTAACAAAGCTCATGGCAATCCATCAAATTTTTTTTGAGACGTTTCAGTCTAAAAAAGTGGTGGACTTACTCACGTTACTGTGGCTAAAAACACAAAACTTAAAAAGACAAGCAACAACATCTGATCACAGACAGAACTTGAACTTGTAGAAAAACATGATGGCAACAACAACTGAACTCGGTCATTGAGAAACTTGCTAAAACTCCCAAACTCTCAGGGCAGTTTCAAAATTATTCCATATAAAAACATAGACTTTGAGTCACTTCCTTGTGCCTGTGTTGGTTCCTCTCTCTGGTCGCTGTTATGTCACCATGTTATTTATGCATTATGAAATGATCAAAGGACCATCTATTAATATATGTATGTGTGACTTGGTTTCTCAGAAGGATAAGATCATAATGAATTTTTTAATCACCCGCCGAGCTGCATGAGCGAGTGTCTGACTGCGTGCATGAGTTTGTTTAGACTCTGTTTTTTGGGGGGGGCATAGAGGGGGGGGGGGTCTCTTTCTGTCACACAAACAAACACATCCATATTTCAGAACGTGGAGAGGAATCCAGAGCAGGAGAACAATGCTGTGACCTTGTGCTGGAAGTTTCTCTCTCTGTCTCTGTCTCAGTTTGTCCGACCCACACCAAGGTCACAGCTACTCTCTGTCTTTCTCTCTCTCTCTCTCTCTCTCTCTCTCTCTCTCTCACTCACTCACTCTCACACACACACACACACACACACACACACGGATCAAGCTGCTTCATCAGTCTTGCGGCTGTCTCGGGTAAATATTGCCTTAACATGGTGCTTGGCATGTATGCTGATACTCTCTCTTACTGCATTCCTATCTCCTCAGGCGTCTGTAGACACACACACACATTCACCTCCTCCACGTCTGTGTTATTAGTGTGTGTGTGTGTGTGTGCGTGGTGATCATTAGTACCTATTGCATTGGTCTCCTGCTGCAGCAGCAGCTTCAGGTCGTCCACAGAGGAGATGGGAGAGTTCCTCACCAGGTCGACCAGCGACGGAGGGAGAGGGTCGCTCTGTGGAGACAGACACAGACTCTTATAACTCTTGTTACGCACTTTGGAAACACAGTTTTTGCCAGGAATATCAACTCTGCTTTGGATTGAATTACAGTAAACATTTGTAAATCCGCAGATATGTCCCAGTTCTGGTTCTTAGCTGAGGAACGCAGCCTAGATTTGCCCGACTTCAGATGACACAACCAGTGTATCTGAAGCCCTCAATATCCCATAATCCTTATGCACAATCATCAGTTGTAAAAATGGGGCATTCAGGTGATTGCAGCTGACTTATGAAGTCAGAAACATATCATGTGATCAAGTAGTGTTTAGCAGGTATTTGCATTTAAATATCAGTTACAAAAAACCCAGAAAACACAAAAGAAAAAGACTTGGTGAAGCTTTATTATAGACATCTTTTTGGAGGTGGTGCAGGTTCATTAAAGGCTTCAAGTCCCCTGAAGGATTTATCCTTTGTGGACTGCGTCCTTTAGAGGCGCCCGGCCCTGAACTGTGACATTATTATTTATTATTATTCCACATAGAGGCTGGAAGTGGCCTCTTTGCAGGGGAAAGAATGAATTCATGGGGGGAAGAAAGCAGTAAAGCGCACAACATCCTACCACACGTATACAAAACAACACATGGGCTTCTTGTGCCTTTTGATAATTTGTATCGTCACCTACTTTTTTTTTTTTATTGTGGTGCCAAAAAGTTATTAGGATTCAACCGAAATGGAACAACAGCAGAGGAAACAAACAGACAGTGACATACAGAGAGAGAGAGAGAGAGAGCTGATGTGTAAATATCTCAGTCCTCCATCTCCAGTCAACTCTTGCTCCAGTTTCACTTCTTCCTGCAGAGGAAATGATGGTTGTGATTGGTGTTTGTTGCTGCTGTTGTCACTCTCCCTGTCTGTTTACCCACAAACACCGCAGTTGCTCCCGGTGTAAAACAGGAAATTAGCCTCTCGCTCCCTGTCGCACTCTCTCTCTTTCTCCCTTTTACTTTCTCACTTTCTATGTATCTCGCCCATATTTGTTCTTTCACTTCATCTTATCCAAAGCATCAAGAAAAAGACCAATGTTTTGTGTTCAATTCAGTTCTTACTTTAAAAAAAAAAGAAAAAGAAAACATCTGCATGTTATAGAACACAAAACTTTGTGAAATATACTTTAATTTAACAGAGTTGTGTAAGTAATTTATGTGTCACCTGAGAGAAGAGAAGGAATGTGATATTTAATGAACTTTTAATGTATGCCGTTGCAGGACTTCATTATGGATTCAGTCTGGCTGAACTCCTGCGGTTTCTTTATGGAGATCAAAGGCAGATTACTCAGTGTTCTGTGTCACATTTTGCTTTGCTTGGCTGTAAGGTGATACTATCTCAGCGCAGTTGGAGCAACATTTGATGGAGTCACATGCCAGGAAGATGCCAAAACAAATTAAGGAGTGTTAAGAATATAAGAGGAAAATATTTTGGTGAACTCTCTGAAATGCGAGTTGAGAGTAGAAGTAAAGGCTTCCATCATGATACAAAATTAATGACTATAGATATATAACATGTTTACAGTATCTTACGAGTAAACATGTCGCTCCTCTAAGGATGGAGGCTGCGCTCGCTCCCCAAAGATCAGTTCATCTTAATCTCCCGACTCACAAACACAGAGAGTCAGATAGATTTATACATTTAAATGCAGAATAATTTCCCTGCTGTTAGAAATGTCTTGTATATTATAAGTTATATTTGTAAGGACTCGCACCTGTACTGATGTTTTATGAACTTTACTCGTAAATGCAAATGCGGATGCTCCCACTGATTCCCATTTTACTGATAAAGTCTGATGTATAGCTTAAAATAAAAAACTGACATGATAAAGTGACATGGTTTTCCATTAAAAACTATCAGTAGCATCAAGAGTCTGTACACTTTCCGCTTTCGGTAAAGTCTTTCTGCTACCTGTTTGTGATTCGTTTCGTTGAACATAAAACTTTTAACCTTATTCAACAACGAAAAAAAACGCTAATATTAACCCAAACAGAACAGTAACGCTTCTAACTTTAACCCCATCTTCTAATATTTAAACAGGTTCCTACAGCACTCGTTCCTGATGTGATGAGACTAAATGTAGTTACTGTTTATCCAGAGTTGTACTGATCGTTAACCTCACCTCAGCGTAGCAACCGGTTTAAGGTTTTATGAGGGTTTTTTTTTTTTTTTTTTTTTTTTAAATAGGCAACATCTTTAAGTGTTTAGAGGACAGTTTCCAAGAGACAAGTATCAAGAATATCACACAGTGGGGTCAGGTGATGTGACCATATAATATGATATTATGTAAAGTGCCAAACTGTTATAGACAGGCAGCTATTCCTGTAACATCTGTGGTTGTATTAGGTTGAGTTTGCTTTAAAGGAGCTATGTGTAAAGATTTCTCTGCAGCCGAACGTGGATTCTTGCCAGGAGCGGGCGGTGGTGATGGTCACAGGACAAGAGCTTCAGCCATCGCTGCGTTTACAAGACAAGAGGTAATAACACGTCCACAGAGCAGCGCTATGCCGTCAGGGAAGAGGCTACAGCGACTCGCTATCGGAAAGTGACGAGACGGGCCGGGGCTAGCTAGCTAGCATGCTAACTTCAGTAGAAGAAAAGACGTGATAGAGACAAGAGTTAACATTGACGTTGCTTCCCACCTCTGGAGACAGCTGCTGTCGAGTGAAGGAATGAAGTTTGACGCTGACCTCGCAATGTTTGTCTTAGACTGATAAGTGAAAGGATGTTAATGCTAACGTTCGTTATGTAGCGATAACAAAACTTGCAAATAGCTCCTTTAAGGCAGTAATTGCGTTATACAGTTACATTTACTGCGAAAGACAATTGCCCACTTCTGCCTGACAGTCCAGGGCATGAAGTCTTCAGTGGATGAAAATGGGAAAAAATGTATATTTTTAAGATTATTATTCTATTTTTGTTCATATTTTTGGATTTTTTTCCTACAAAAGATCACCAGCTAGAGATCGAACCTTTTTATTTAATTACTGAATCTCATCGTTTCATCATTTTATGTCCCTCTTTTATGTTAATTTTCTATCTCTCTCTTCACTCTTCTGTCTTTCTGTCTCTGTCTGCTTTGTGGGCGGCAGTGGCTCAGGACACCTGGATGACTTTCACAAGCCATTGGCTGACCTAGTTAAGCAAACACACACACACACACACACACACACACACACACACACACACACACACACACACACAAACACGCTCGCCCCCTCTTTTCCAGTTCACATACAGATGCTTAACCACTTAACTGTCAGCCCAATTTGTCCAGAGAGGCTCACACACTTATTCTCTCTCTCACACACACACAGAGGCAGTTTTCACTCGGCAACAAGCTATCATTACAGTCCCAGTGCAAATTGCACACACACACACACACACACACACACACACACACACACAAATTAGAGAGTGGAACACAGAGGAAATAGTTCCTCACATGGACAAACAACAAACCGCTGGTTAAAATATAAGAATTGTACAACAAGCTAATAATAGTGGTTTGAGCAGAACAGCTAAATTAACCAGAACAAATCTGTCACCAAGTTCCTTATTTGCTGTGTAACACACATGCAAAGACACAAAAATAGGCCTCAGTTGTTGTTGTTGTTGTTTTTAGTCTCTGAAAAGCCTGTAAACACCTTTTCTGCTCAACGCTGTTATGGAAGGTTTGGTCGTTTGTCATGTGTAGCTAAGCTGTTGGGTTGAGAAGACTGTCTGATAGGATGTCATGATCTACAAGCAGGTCATACACACACACACACACACACACACACACACACTGCATGGGGCCTTGGAGAAAGCCTGGAAGGCAAAGAGATTGTATGGAATGTTTGAGGAGAAAGGTGAAGTGTAATGGAATGTAATTATGGGGCCAGCTGAGTGCGCACACACACACACACACACACACACACACACACACACACACACACACACACACACACACACAAACATGCAATCAAACAGAGGCGCAGACTCCGTGAGAAAAAGTAAACACACACAAAAACACAGAACAAGAGTGTGTGACTCACAATCACACCACGCTGTCACAACACATGCCTTCTTTTATCAGAGATATGGCAGATGGCCAAAATACTGTCGCATAAACTTGATACTCACAGAGCTCGGTGCATGGGCACTCACTGTCTCAGACACACACACACACACACACATGCACAGACAGCAGCAGAGATGAGGGTTCAGATGATGGATGGAAAGACGACAGAGGAAGAGGACAGGAGCTGAAAGGAGGGTAGAGGAGAAATGAAAAGAGGTGAAGGAAGAGGAGCTGTGTCTTTGAGCAAGGCAGTAGGCACGTCTGCCGGCTCAATTCTGCACAGGTACATAACAGCAAGATGAATTTCCTCAATAGACACGACTCTAGACTTGAAATAACGGATCAATTGACCTTATTTTGAAAATAGAACAAACACTGCAGTCACATTTTTTGACTATTTTCTGACATTTTAGAAACCAAATGATTGATCAATGAATATGAAATGTATTGAGCTGATTAACTGACACTGAAAGTAACTGTTAGTTGCGGCCCTCTACAAAACAACACACACGGCTGTGCTATAAGACCCGGCCTCTTCGTCCTGTCGAAACCTTCAAACTGATTCCATATCAAAAAAGGTAAATGAACACCAGCCATTTTGAGTGAATAGTTAGCATTCCAGGCTAACTGATACAATTAGCTTCATGCCTGCAGCTGCCTTCAAAGTAAAAGCCCTCCAGCGACTGGGAGTCTGACTGAAGGCAAGGAGGCATCGCTTGAGGGCTTTTACTGTGAGGCCGCCACATCTTTTGTTATTGATTCCAGCAATAATTTTAAAATCGGCCATTTCAATGGTCCCATATCGTATAAAGGTAAATGTCCATGTGTTTCTTAAAGGTAAATGTCCGTGTGTTTTTTGATTATAGATCAGGTCTAGTTTCTGTACTAATACTGTGAAAGTATCAAAGCGCTCAGTCCACAGAGACATGCACACAGTCAGTATTCAGAAACTGAGCCTTAAAACCAGCCGTCAGGACTTCTGTAACTTTGTGATGTCACAACAAAGCAGTCACTGCTCTCAGCCATGCCCCAAGCCCCGCCCACCTGGATACACCATCCAACCTTGCAGGATTTGGTCTCTCTGAGGGTTTTACCTGAAATCTGCTATATATTTATCTGATCACTCAGAAAACATTCAGCCAATCAGAAGAGGGGATCAGATCCTCCTCTCTTCTGATTAGCTCATCGATCTGTTGTTTTTAGAGCTCCAAAAAAAGCCTGAGATAGGAAATGTAAAACTGCAATGAGATGGTTTTTGGTTCTTAAAACCACAAATATATATTCTTAAAACTTCAAATGAAACATTGGAAAAGTGTAAAATATGGGACCTTTAAATATTCTTTATTTCTATATTTCTAACCATTTTATCTAATAGAAGTTATCTTCAATCCTCATTACTATCCCTATTATTTCAAACTATCCACTGGACTCTGTGACTAGATTTTCCCTCTAATGCTGCAGCGCACAGAGCTTACAAACAAATAATCTTATGAGCCACTGCGCTTTTCTATCTGACACATGCACGCACAGAGGCATAACCCCCGTGCTGTACACACACCAAAACACATGCACATATGTCCACTAACACATAATGCAGCTACCACTCGCCCATGCACCCAGATGTGCGCACACACACACACACACAAATACACACACTGCTACACGGCACACAAAGTCCGTGAAATCCCCGGCAGATTAGTTGTTGTTCTTATGTAAAATGGATCAAGCCGGGCAGCAGCAAATCGTCCCAGCTCGCCCGGAGAGACAATAGTCTGACAACAACCTGTTCAAAATCCATGTGCGGGGTGGGTCATTGTGAGCGTGTGTAGTTGTAACAATAGTGATTTGAACAGCAGATGATGAAAGAGTTGAGGTCTGACCTCATGTGTGAATGCTTTTGTGTTTTTGGCTCCAGTTCTGTTTTAAATGGATTTAAAAATGAACCGTAACAACTCTCAGTGTGTGTGTGAGTGTGTGTGCATTCATCCTAGTGCATTCTGTGTTTAACACCATATTGTATAAGCGTTAAGTTTTGACTGGATTACTCACAGACTCGCAGCAGCTGCACAGTAAAAAGAAAATGATCTTTCCCTCTTAAATTATGATAATATTTTCTGGATCATCCTTAGTGAACCTGTAGTGACATTGCTGAATAATGTGTGTGTGTCTGTGTGTGTGTGTGTGTGTGTGTGTGTGTTTCTGTGCATGTGAAGTCTTTTCCGAAGACAGATGCGGCAGAACTAAGACGTCAAAGATGTCTCCATTTTTCCCATCACTGGACTGAACGTTGTGACAAGATGAGGATTAGCGTGTCACAGAGTCTCAGCCGGACTCACACATCGACCTGACGCTGTCTCCCTCACAGGTCACATGTCAGGTCAGTGTTTGTTTAAGTATAAAAACGTGTCAGACCTCCACAGTGCTACCTTAAGCTGCAGCTGATCGTAACACGCACGAGACGTCGAGGGTGCTAATAGTTCACAGGATCACCAATATCAGCCAGTTTCAGCTCAGTGACCAAAGCGCCCCCTGTGCAAGGTGCCGGCCCTCTTTGGCTGCAGCTCACAGGGCAGGGTGAAGTGTTTTTACCATCCTGTTTCCACTGTGTGAATTGTAATTTTTTTATGAATGTCGAGAAGTGCTTCGTTCATCGGTTCCAACAGTTTCAGGATGTTGTGCGTTCGACGAAGAGACGCGACGAGAAACAAGCGTATGACAAAGTTAAAATGTCCAAAAGACGAGACCTCTCCAAAAACGCAGGTTGAGTTCTGCCCTCTCCACACCGGCATCACCTTCAAGGGACAACAGAGCTGAGAACATAGATGCTAACTACGTAGGATGCTTAGACTATCCTCAATACAAAAACGTTAGTAAATAGCTTGCCACATTCACCCGTACATACATCACACCCATCAAGGGCAATCATTTTGGGTTCAGTATCTTGCCCAAGGACACTTAGACATGTGGACCGGAGAAGGGTTTGACCCACCGACCTTCTGATTAGCAGACAACCCGCTCTACCTCCTGAGCCACAGCTCGTGCGCTCAGACGTAGGTGGATAGTCGGGTGTAGCCTGCTGAGTGTGAGACACCGGAGACCACACTTCACGTCCTGGCTCCTACCAACAGTGCACTTTGGTTTCTAACAACTATCAATAAGAGATTTTACTAAATACAACCAAGTCGTTTTAGTAGATGAAACTTGATCACCAAGGTGCTTCATCAAAAATCCCGATATGGGTTTTTGTAAATGCTTGCTACACAACAACGTTTGACAGAGGTCACCTGACAGCTCATCCACATGACCCACAAGTGTTAGAGCGGGGACATGACCAAATGAGAGTGTGAACGACAGGGACATAGGAGACACGTGTGTTTGCCATCTCATAAGAAGAAGTCAGTAAATACTGTTTAAATATATTTATATTAAGACGAGGCGCTCGAGTGGAAAAGAAAGAGCAAAAGCAAATGCGTAAGACCTCCGTGCATTTGGACCAACGTTTTTGTCGTCAAATGACGTTTAGCTCGGATATTGATGTGCAGCCTTTTCTCTCTTCTGTATTTGGCCTCCTGAGAGTCTGTGTTCACTGGCTGCTCGCTAAAGAAACAGGTGTCTGCTGGAAACACGAGATAAGATTGTGTTAGAGAGAAAGATGATTTCATTGGTGGAGTGACAACAGGACCTCGATGCTGTGGTGTGACAGTGAAAACAGCAGCTGGGCTGATGATGGGTGGATTTTAGCTCCAGCTGTGTACGACAGGTTAACTCCTGCTGTTGGGCCTCCAGCCAAGACCCTGCCTCACCCCCCTCCCTCCCTCCCTCCTCTCTCTCTCCCTCCCTCTTTGTGACACTGTGACTCTTCCATGCAACACTTCACAGCCATGAAACATGAAAAGGAAGCGCAGAGAGAGGCAGACACAGCACAAGCTGCAGAGTCACAGAGGGAGAGCTACACACACTGATGTCAAACACGCACAACGCTGCACTGTTCTTTTTGCCTCGCACTTAAACTGTAGAAAACATTCACACCGCACAGGTTGTAGAATCATCTCAGGGGACCATGAATGTCACTCGCTCTTTATAAGTGAAGGAAATTCTCAACCGCCGAGATATCACGTCCTCTCATGACTGTCATCGTCTTTGTGACACACAGTATCTGAGTCAGAACATGAACTATTATCTTCGTTGAAATTCAATCTTCACAGAGCTTCCTCCAGACTACTTGGTATTTTCAGGTTGGCAAAAGATCCAGGTACAGAGAAGGAAGCATCAGCACCGCCCCCATCAAGAGCGTTTAGATGGTAAAGAGCCCAAACTAGTGTCTGAGGCACACTGGCATCTTTCCTCCAGCTCACCCAGGTATTGTAGTGGAGGCACAACCAGGCTATTATTACCAAATGGTTTAGACAGAGACATAAATATTTGAGTCATGAAATCAAAATGGACCAAAGTTTCCTTTAAGAATAATAATGTTTTTCTGATATTTAACTATCTGTCTTGGTGGTTGGTTGCCTTATAATCATCACCACATTTGTATTAATTACTACCTCATTGATGGTTTTACCCTTAAATCAAGACTTTATAGACATGTCAATAAGTACGACTATGTCCATTTTTAATCCATGTCTGTTAGTTTCCCCTCACCGACTAGAGGTCATGCGGTGTGTTTACCGGCACATCCCGGTCTTACCTCAGCGCTGCCGAGCCGCAGACGGGCCGCTGAGAGCGCAGCCAGCAGCAGCAGCAGGACCCAGGACCTCATGTTGCCGCCCAGCCTGAGGAGCCGCAAGCGACCGGCTGGGCATTTAGCACCTCGGCGTCCAATCCCCCGGCAGCACCGAGCCTCGTCCCGGTGTCGTGTGCTTGTGCGAGGCACGCGCTGTTAAATATCCCCCAAAATGTGTCACTGCCTGCAAGCGCCGCTTGTCCAAATGTTTGCTCACGGTGACTCACACGCAGGCTAGACGTCTGACTCTGTCCATACCGCTGTTTTGAAAACTCACAAACGGAGACGTGTAGGGTGCTGTGGGACAGGTGCGTAATGCAGGGTGCTATGATTGACGAAGGCTACAGCAGCACAATTCCCAATATATCAGTCTGCAGCGTAAGAGTGAGTCCCAGTGAGCCCCCGCTGTGAATCCAAAAAATGTCTCCAAATGTGTGATTTCTAAAAATGAGTCGTTAACAAGTGCTCGATGCGTCCACTTTCCTGTCAAGACTCCAGTTTCAAAAATATCAGATAACGAGCTCCCGCTCCCAAAATCTGGGTTAAATGTAAAATGAATGCAACATTCTGGTCATAAGCAAAAACCCACAACTCCAGAGCACCGTGCGTAAAAGTTGGTCACCTTGGAATAGCGCTTCGTGCGTAATTCTCTGGACAGCTCCGCTGCAAAAGTCAGATTATTCTCATCCCAGCGCGATTCACTTGACTGCAGATTGCATCTGTCTAATCTAAGCGTCTCTCTCTGCGATAGCGGTTCCCTGACACTTTGCCTCTCCGTGTCTCTGTTCAATCTTCCAGTGTTGCTCCTTTCACCGGCGCCGCAGGATCATGTTCTTCTCGCCCCTCGCGCTTCTCCTCTCTGGTTGCGTTTTGGGCGGTGAGCAGCTTTTCCAAATAGAAACAGGGCCTCCCTCAAGTTTTAAGCATCAAGTCACACTAAGAAACGCCGAAGCATACCGGAAACCGGGCGATTTTGCTTTCAAAGTAAATGAATAGATTGAGATTTTCATGGAAAATTCACGATCTCGGCGCTGAAAGTGGGTCTCCACAGCACCGGCAGAGAAATGAATGTGTATGACAAAAGATCAGCAATGATGATAATAACAAATAATTTCACAAGATGGATATATGGCTCATAGGAATAAAGAAGTGCTGCAAAGTAGGTGAAATTCATATACAGCAATTGCAGGTTAAAGATTGCCATTAGAAGCATGTATGAGTTTATGTGGTGAAACTTGTTGGTGGTAAAGGCAACAAGAGCACTTAACTTTTCAATTATCCACTATATATTAATATTTAATAGTATTTCTGGTGTAGTATTTTAATTTCAGCAATGCCACTATTGACAACTCCAGTAGTCATGAGGTATTATTTTGAAAGTTCCTGACCGGAAGTCTAAATGCTCAGGTGTCTAACTTGACTGTGGTCCTCAACTTTGCTCCAGGGGCCTCGTTCCTCTCATCTTGAAGGCAGGGCTTACCACCTCCTTATTAGGAGCAAGGAGACTTCAGGGCCCATGGGTGCTCTTAAAGGGGAAGTTTGGAGCCAGGACACGAATTATTAATTCCTATGTGCATTATAATAACATATGTGTCATGTAACAAACATAATGTTTTCTTTTTTTCTTTTTCCCAGGGGAAATAAGGTGTTTTCTAAGGTGATTATAATATTTAAATTCCTCCAGACATCTTTAGTTTTTCAATTTTTTAATATTTTGTTTAACATGGTCTTCCCACATAAAAAAAAGGAAAACTGGGGCTGTAAGCAGAAATACACTTACTTCCTCGTTGAGAAATCTGGCAGACGTACTCGCAGACCTTTCAGAACGGTTAGCGTAGTTAGCATCGCTTATTTGTTTACGTTCTTTGTTAGCTCGTGACTGCCACTGGCTGACACTGTGTTAGCGGTTGTGCTAATGCAAACTGTGGCTCTCTGTACTGACAAGGTTTCGGGTTTATTTTTCCCGCCCCCCTCGTCCCCACAAGTCGACAGGATTGGTTCCTTAGTTTTTGTGACATATGAAACCCTGTCTGTCTGAATCTGTTTTTATGAGACTGTCATTGGTTCACTGCAGTTGCAAGGTCGACTGATTATTGACTGATTATTTCACTCATCACATGTTTTCTATAAAACATCATGTTAACAAGGTTAAAAACTTGATTACTACAGAATTTACAGACAGTGATGAAGTTAATCAGACAACATTAATCCATATGATTTAACTGTGTTAGTCTGTGTATTTAAAGACATTGTTTATAGCAGATGGTGATATTAAGTATTGGGACCACCCTCCTATTTATATTTGACTCAGGATTGCACCTTTTAGAAATATAATGAGGTCACTATAAACAAACAAAAACAAAAGCATTTTTTATTGGATTATAATATTAAGAGGAATATTAAGAACTCCAAATGGATGCTATTTGTGAAAATGCATTTTGTCTGTTTCTCTCCCTCTAATGCAAAACGCAGAAAGTGCATTACATCATCAGCAAATTCAGCTCGGCTTGTGAAGTTATGAGTCAGAGCTGGGGCAAATGGTTTTCCGCAAAACCTTTAAGCATTTGTTGTAATCTTCTCGGATTATTGTGTGGATTGAAGGGTGCGGGTTGGCAAACAGAACAAAACAAAGAGGACCAGAAAGTTTGGACAGTTCCACGGCTGCTTTTCAAAATCACACTCAATGACCATTTACTGCTTCAGTTGTTCAGGCAGGAGCGAACTCGACAAGAAGAAAATGCTTTTTGTCTTTTCAAAACTCAAAGTCACAAGCAGGCGGCCGTACAGAAATAAATCCAAAGATTAAACTGAAAAATATGGTTTGAAAGTCATAAAAGATTCCCTACAGGCACACTTAAGACATGTTACAACCCTCGTGCTTCATTGAGAATTTCAGAATCTACAGTACAGTATGAATGCTAATCAGGACAAGTTGAATCTTATCATGTTTGTTTCACATCTGCGCTCAGGAGTCATTTGGATCGCAAAGGGCATGACTGATGTTGGAAGCAAATTACGGTCATCACGCTGAGATGGCGGGATAAGATATCAACATGGTATCATTAGACTTTCCAGAAACGCTTGTGAGGCTCAAAGGATTTATTTATTTTTTTGAATGTTTTATCCATAACATCTTAAATATGTGACATTAAGACAAGTGTCTCGAGCTAAATTAGCAAAGGAATGTGAAAACAGCCCAGTCTGGAGCGCCAAACTACACACAGTGGAAGGGAAACGTGTCTCTTATCGGGCAGACGTTGCAACGATATGTACTTTGCTGGTCTGTAAAGGGTTCGTCCTGCTCTGTGGCTCGTAGATATGTTTTGTTCTGACCTGAGAAGTTCGCTGACCACAGGACAGATCTGCTCACATTTCCAGAGGAGACAGGCACTGTTTTCCAGGAAGCTCAGTGTTTCATTTCGGGGTCACGGTTGGATGGATCGCCATGGAAGTCAGGGGTCATGGTAGATTCTTCCTCCCTGCAGAGGGAAGACAGAGGAAGCAGGCATCCCTGTGTGGCTATTCCTGGACTACACACACACACACACACACACACATATAGCCATGTATATACACTGCTAAATATTGACCTTTTACCTACGTGTGCAGCGTACAGGGTGACTGACAGTCTGTGGGGACACACTGCTCTCACACTGACAGGATGAAGTACGAGCCCTCATCTCAATAATGACCGCAGTGTACATGTACTGTGTGTGTGTGTGTGTGTGTGTGTGTGTGTGTGTGTGTGTGTGTGTGTGTGTGTGTGTGTGTGTGTGTGTGACAACTTGAAAGCGTATCAGGTTTACAGTGTTGCTTGCTCTCAGTCCTTAACATGGAATTCCCAGTATGTCAGATAGGAAGGAGATGTACTGTGCATGTATCTCTCTCTGTGTGTGTGCGTGTGTGTGTGTGCGTGTGTGCGTGCGTGCATGCGCGTGTGTGTGACATTGCGAGTCACAGGTGTGTGATATCATGGTCTCTATTTGTGTGTCATTGCAGAGCCAGGTGTAGCACGGAGGCAACGTAACTGCGACGTCATTTTCTTCAGGTAATTCATTTTCCCCGTGAAAAGTCACAAAACTAAACAGGACAAAACACAAACATCAGCTGTTGGACTAAATACAAATCATATCACAGAAGTCAGTCCACCCACGTTTTTTGTGCATGTGAATAAAGTATTATGCTGGCTTTATTTTTAGCTGCTTCTTTTTTTTTTTTTTTTTTTTTTGAGTGGCTACATCCTGATAAATCTTACACCTTCCTGCCAACAGACTGTATTGTTGTCCAATAACTATTCAAAGGGAAATTCCAGCAAACCAGTATTGTATAGTACCAGCACTTCTAATTTTGAATTTCATTATTTCAAATAAAACCTCATTTGTTTCCTTTTACTTCTTTTCTGTTTTCTTCCTGGTTATATTCAATCCGGTGTCTGTAAACGTATGAAAGCATCTACAACACTGACGATTGGCCAATGGCCGCATTCCACACTTTTATTTGATTGGTAGCAGAGATACAAAAGTTTACCTTATTACCTAGCAACTGTGAATTCAGCCAGAAAAAATAAATAAATTTAAAAAAATTACTGTCCTGGTTTTTCACACATCAAAGGTGGCAACCCTATTACCAAGTAAACACCCACATTGTTTAAACTTGATGCCACCTGTTCAGTAAACCAGTATTTATTTAAAAATGTAAATGTATACTATCTGTGCCAAACCCCTGATGACGTCACCAGGCAAGCTCCCCTTTAAAAGCTTTTAGAAGAGCCGTAGCTTTGCTTTGGATGACTCACGGACATTCGCGTGTGGCTTCAACAGGAGCTTTAAGAAAACATTTACCAAACCTCCAGAGGAGGAACTCAACTGTCTATTGTTGAGTTTTACTTTGGCTTCAGGAAATCCAGTGCTCTGACCTGTAATCAAACCCAGCTGCACCTGGCACTTCTGGTTTTGAAAGTCATTCAAAATGTTTGGTGTTTTTCCTCTTTAACCAAGACCTGGGCCTTCAATAAGCAAGGATGGACAAATGCGTGTGTTCGTCTTCCTGCGTCTGACTGTGTGTCTCTTTGAATTTGGCCCAGCGTGTGTGTTCAGACAGATTTACTGACTTAGTTAGTGTGTCAAGATGAAGAGCAAAGATAATGGTTTTAATGTGATGCAGAATCCAAACAATTTTCCCCTGACTAGACAGCCAGTACAGAAGTAATTAAAGTAATCAGACAGTCACGTTTAGTTAAAAAGAGGAGTGGCCCATGTTGGGTGAGTTAAAGTCGGAGTATCTGTCTGTTTCAGATCCTCTGTGGGCTGCGTCTCACCAGTCTTTCTTTTTTTTGTCTCCTCTCTTTTCACTCTTCTTTCCTCTCACTACGCTACTTCCCTTTTTAAACCTCACTGTGCGTGTGCTTCTGTGTGAGAGTGTTAATTAACTTCCTGTCCAATATCCTGATCTAATTAATAGACTGAATTTCTTTTCCTCCTGTCCCCTTGCCAACTTCCTCTGTCACCGCAGCCTGTCGCAGGATGAGGCAAACAGCCGCTGCTCTCGCACCAGGGTTCAAACTTGGGTCACAGACTCAACGCGCAACATCTACAACTCATTCTGCTGGTGTCTAGCCAGTCTGTATTAGATCTGGACTGAATCTTCCAGCAAAGATTATCTCCAATAAATCCCACAGGATCAATAGCAGAAAATCTCTGGTTGGCTGCTTGGTTTATTTACCACTTTGACAGAGAAACAGTTATTTTAAAATTCTACTTTGTTTGCACCAACAAGTAGGACATACAATATAATGAGGCCAGTGATGTAAAATAAATAATAAAAACATAGTCTAATATATGATTTATAACTTTTACTACTACTAAATA